AAACGTTAAGATTTTTAGTTCGAGGACGTGGCAACCAATCCGCAAATTAAGCATTCGGAAAACATTTTTTTTTCGCATAATATTTGAAAGTGCGAGTAGGTTATAATATCATTGTATTCTAAACAAATCATATCCAAATATAGAATATATACTCGTATGTATATAAATTCTTAAATTTGTAATATCTCCAATATATTATGTTGGCTTCTGTAATTATTCGTATAAATGAATTCGACTTTGGTTATCACAGAGTATAACATCTTTCTTAACACTACACTGGAAGTTAATCCAAACCTTAATGCTTTTCAAAATTGGTGAAAATAACAACTAATTTCTGAATCTTTAACAGTGTTACGTGCCTTATTGTCTTTATATTTAGATACAGAATACTCTATTTGAGTTTCTTATGTTTTTTAGAAACATTAATGTCGCAATGGTAAAGTGACTTTTATGGTGCATCTGCATTAAGAGTTGTTACGTATGAATGCGACGTTGGTTGTTTTTTAATCTATTTACGTAGCGACTTTGGGATATGGTAGGTATTTATTTATATAATGCTGTTATAATTTGTATGCGGTAATCGAACTGTCGGTACTACAAAGACTGAGTTCTGAGTAAATTAATTTTATTTTATTTGCTAACATTGGTCTTCATTGGCTAAGTTCCCAGTTAGTCTTCAATGCATATGATGATATTGGAATTGTTGAAAATTTTTGTCAAAAATAATTTTTTGCACGTTGTTCCATTATAACACTTACGTTTAGCATCAGTGATTATATTAACTGAATCAATTTTTGTCTTATTTACTAAAATGTAAAATTTTTCCGTAAATAATAAAATCTTACTCTAAATTTAGATCATATACCTACATATATCTATTATAAATGAGTATGAGATTAAAGTACAAATGAGTCTATCCATCTACCTAAAATCGTATTAATTTATAACAAAACGTCATTTACGCCGTATATAGTCTTGACAAATAGAAACAATGATATATTATTTATTTATAGCTTAATATGTTTTAGAACCATATTTGTCAAACTAATACTGACGTCATATATTTCTGAATTTTAATTCAAACTTACCATAGTCTGCCGACCAAAATTAATTATTAAAATGAAGCAAGGAGTAATTGTTTACAGCGTAGTTCAGACGTACTATTTGTCTGGAATTTAAAATTTGAGAAATTACGAATTACTTTTAATGCGTTTGTTATAAGTTGAAGTAAGATCCAGAAGCTTACGTTAACGCGACTTGGCCAAAACTATATCAAAATATATAGAATAAGTACGCTGAATATATTAAAGGAAAATATAGCTAGAGGAAAGGCTTGTGGGGTATGACTAATTTACTAATTTACAAACATACAGGTATTGTACAGTTTTTTTGTAACATGACAACCTTAGTAACAAATGGGGCGTGTGTGGACCCCTTTACATTAATGACAGGAATTCTCATTCTGTCTAGTCCATCCCCAATATAAAAATTAATACCCGTAAAAAAAGGATCTCTTTCACAAAGTAGAGTAAATAAAAATTAGATACTGGAAAAACAGTTTATTTTAGGGATTATATGAAATATGAGATATGACAAGAGGGGTTCTGAAATGGATACACAGAAGGCATAAAAAAGTAGTAAAAATATCATCAAACAGCATTTAAAAATAGATTTATATAAACTAATAAATCAGTTAAGAATATATTAGGTACAATTAAAAAATTAATAAAAAAATTTTATTTTTACATTTTTATAATATTTCCTAAAACGATAATAAATAGTGGGGACGAGGGGAGGTGTGTAGGGGGGTAGAGGGGTAGAAGGCAGAGAGGAGGGGGTACAAAAACAAAAAAGAAAGAAAACTTTAAAATCTGTAAAACTCTCAGGCAAAAATACATCAATTTTTGTAATAAATGAAAATTATGTAAATTAATAACTACTCATGGACATAAAATATAAATTTTCTAAGTAAAAACAAAACGGATCTAATTAGAAATTAATCTGTACAAAATTCATGACTACAAATAAAAAGTTTGTAAAAAATCATTTAGACAGAGATCATTTTTGCAAAAATTAAAATTGAACAAAGAAAACAAATATTCACAGTTCTGTGGTTTTTACCCACAACCCGCCTCATAAATTAAACAATTATTTTTTTAGATACATTTTTACATGTCCTCAACCTAGATGGAGATGTGTCCATTTTTTCATCCCTTAGAAAACTGACTTGATAGCACAATGAACTCTCACACATGTGAGGATCCTAGGAGGGAGCCATGGGGGCCATCGCCCCCCCCAATTGTTCGGAAAAAAAATCAAAGATCAAACGGACTAAATTAATAAAGATTAAAATTTTTCTGTTTAAAAACGTCTTTCTTGACTGCATAACCTTTTTTTGTCTCCACTATCCGCTTACCCTTTTCTTTTTCTTTAGACATCAACTAGATCCGCCCCTGCTCTCATATTGCTGGTTTGCCATATAAACGTCTAAGCGAGTCCGCTATCGTTTTTTTTTATACATATGATTTTATTTCACTATACAGATATAAAACTTAAGATTAAGAGCGTTTTGTAGAATAGTTTTTCATTATAGTAATATATGGGTAAAACGTCAATAATTATCATCATAATTTTTATATTGCAATCTTGCAATCGTTCGAGTTCAATGTCTGTCGCTATACCTGTCAATTTTGATGATTAATTACAAATACAATTCTGTATAATAATGAAATATTTTAATTATATTTAAAGCGGAATTTAATTCAAAACTGAAATATTTCTAAACATTCTAATGTCCATATTTTTTCCTTTATGGCCTTAAATTGTTTATAAAACTCTGATTATTGTATGTATTTACCATTAACATCTTTAGCGGTATAATAAAATCAGGGATTTTTTTGTTGGCTTAAAAAGTGTGGTGTTTAAAAACGCTTCAACGATTTCTATGAATATTTTATACTCAGGTTCCCAGTGTCTAACGACTAAATGTGTTTTTGATCTGTGATTATAGATTTACTGAGAAACGCATAATGACCGTGTTTGAAGTGTCCCTTGTGTTTGTATTAGTTTTTATTGTATATGTAAATACTTCAAACATATTCGTTACAGACCACAAATACAGTGGTGAGTAGTACTTAGCTTAAGTAGTGAAATAATTTTCTTCAAAAACCAAACATTAGGTCAAAATAAATAAATCCATCTATCATTTCTGATGGATTATGTGAAGATACGAACAACTATTTTTCTCTGCTTTTAAAAAGTATATAATATTTCAAATTGATTAGTTTTTTCATCGTTTACAGGTTTAAAGTTTTAACAATTAGCAGCTTTTTGTGGGTGAAATAAACGACAGATGAAATTTGGTAATTCAACTGATAGAATCACGTACACTAATCAATAAATTTTCATTTTTATATTTCATTTAAAATTAATAAAAAGTATTTCTTTGAAATTGGAAAAATGCCCAAATTTTGTTTTAAACGTTATAGTGTTCTAGATATCAATATTTCAATATGTTTTTTACTTATTTTCCATTACGGAGATATGCGCAGAGTTAATATTATGAAAAGGTATCAAGAAAATTATAGGGATTCTCTATTATACGTCTTTACCAGTATGAATTTATCTTACAGTCAATTTTGAAATTAAAAAACTAAATCGAGGTCAACAAATGTATTAATCAACAAAATTTAGAGAAATAACTTTAAATAATTTTACTAGAAACATTTTTAAGTTCATTTATGAGTCTGCCTCAAGATATTTAAAGATTAACAGAAATAGGTCGTTAAAAATACATTTTGTTGCAAACTTTACAAAGTTTGAGTACATTAGGTAGGAATAGTCCATTTACGACAAATTTTGTAATGACGTCACAGTGCGAAGTGGTACAGTGTTGCCACGAAGTACATTTTTTCAGGATACATTGACTGATTGATTGATTGATTGATTGATTGATTGATTGATTGATTGATCGATTGCTTGATTGCTTGATTGATTGATTCATTCATTGATTTGATTAATTTTAGACACAACTTGTGTAATGAGAAGAAAGAAAAAAATCTTTATGTGGGTGGTTTATTCATTCAAGCTCAAATTGCATTTAATGAAATATCTCTATGCCTACTTTTAAATTGCGTTCAAAATAAGAAAATACAGTAGTGGGGTGATTAGTCCGTTCTTTTTTTTTAAATGGGGCTTTAAATGCAATGACTGTCAATGGAGAACGATATCGAGAGATATCGAGCTTTTTGTGCATCCTTTGGATGGCATGGATTTGGATGACATGTGATTCCAGCAGGATGATGCCTGCTGTATGGCACGTGAAACTATCCACTTGTTACCGGCAGAAATTTAATGGACGACTCATCACATGTAACAGTGAAGTGACTTGGTCACCAAATTAAGCGATCATACGCCATGCGACTTTTTCCTGTGCGAATTCGTAAAGACCAGAGTTTGTTCTGCTCAAATGAATCCCATTCCTGAATTAAAGGCAGAAATTTAGAGAGTTATGAACGAAATTTAACCGCAAGTATGCGAAAGCGTGATACAGAATTTTCTTAAAAGAAGTCGAGTATGGCAAATAGTCAAGGAGGGTATCTGTCCGATATTCTGTTTCGCATTCAATGGCAATGTCTACCTCTTAAAAACATGTAAAAACAGTGCCAACTTTTTAATTTATAAAATCTTTTTTTCTTATATTATATCCTGCGTTTCTTTTGGGGATACCATTTATAAACAACAAACAATACCTACCTTGTAGTTAGTAAATTATTTCGAAATATACTCTTACATTATATGATTGATCCAACAAAACAAAGCATACTTTTGGTATATTACCAACCTTTTCAATCTTAATTAAAAGTTTATTGAAACAAATAGTGGAAGGTGACCAGTTATTACCAGTACATATTTTTGTAAATTATCGATATTTTAGTAGCAACAGTATTAACTTGATTTACGAAGGGCCGAATTTTACTTGCAAAACTTGGACCTATAACATGTTAAATAAGGGTAAAATATTTAATTACAAGTTACAATATTTTTTAAACAATTGTAGGGAAAATCTTTGATGTCTGTCACTAACGATTAGCAGAGAAAATTGGCCGTTCTATTTATTTCGTTGCGTAAATATTTGTGGCTGATACTATAAAAATTAAAATATGTTTCTTACCAACTCTAACAAATGACTGTCTTTTAGCACCGACTCCTTGTGAAGGAAACGATGATTGCTTGGATTTCGGTAACGACTCTACATGTGGTGAAGATGGTTTTTGCATATGTAACTCCAGTAAAATTTGTATAGGCAAAACTGGCGTGGTTGTCACAAAAGTTGGGTTGGAATGTGTGCGTAACAACGATTGCAAGATTGAACAAGCAGAATGTAGCGACGGTAAATGTATGTGCAAGACTGAGCATGTGGCATCGCCTGATGAAAAAACTTGTTTAAAAAGTAAGTTGCATTTATCTTAAGCACAAAAAGTCTTTAAAATGAACTAGCAGGTANAAGTTTAATTCAAATTATTAAATATTCAGTTCTTGTCCTGGCTTTCATATTTTTTAAGTGCTTTGTAAAATTATAAAAGGCTCTCTTGGAAATCAAAACAAAGTGAATTCTTGTAAATTTACGATTCCAAATATTTGATGAATGAATTTCAATTTACTCATATTTTTTTTTTGGTATTAAAAATAATACTTAAACTAATTTAGGTTATGATTCTCTTCTTTTCAAATATCTTGCACATTATTAGAATTTATATTACAACGTGTAAAGTTCCAACAATATTTTATACAGGGTGTTCAGAAAGGTCATGTCAAAAATGAAGGAGTGTACAAGGGAGGTCAAAATAGATGTAGTACTTCATATAAAAGTTTTTCCTATCGGGCTTTATTGTGGAGTTATTCGCCTTCAAAGGAAGAAGTTTTAAAAACAAGTTCCAATTATAACTTCTAAGTCGTTACTATGACAACAATAAAATTTGGTCAATTAAAGTAACTCGTGGTAATGGTCATTTCCAAGTTTAAACTGATATTCAGTATGCCTGGATTATACAGCAGCAGACGAAATTATCCATTTAAATTTATACATCTTTGACAGCCTTGCCTAATTTGGCATTTTTCTTTCATAGTTCGATTCCTCTCTCACTTTGCGTAAAAAAGGTATACCCATATATCAGTCGATATCTTGTACCGTTTTTTAAAAAATTGAATTTTATTAACATACATATATTGTATCAAGAATGTGATATTAACTTTTTTGTAAAAATTTTGGTTTCTTTGGAAATTGAGATCACTGTCAACAAGTATGTATAATTAGCAGTTAGATATTTGTCATAAATTATTTTGACACCATTTGTTGATTCATGGAGGATTCTAACTATGAAAAATTTGCAGCTTCTGAAGCTGTTCGAATTTACGCTAAGCGCTTTCCAAATAGAATTTGCATATTTGAAGTGACGAAAATCCCCATGCTATTATTCAGACAAAACACCAGCAAAATTTTATCATTAATGTATGGCTGGGAATAATTGGAAACTACTTAGTGGGACCACATATCATTGATGACACTTTAAATGGGTATAAATACCTATATTTACCCCAAGAACACCTTAATCCGTTATTGGAAGACGTCCCTTTAAATATTTGAAATAACATGTGGCTTATGCCTGATGGTGCACCACCTCATTTTAGCAGGGCAGTAAGAGCTGATTTAAATACTACATCTCCCGATCGATGGATCGGTCGAGGTAGTCCTTTATTGTGGCCGCCTCGGTCTCCCAACCTTAATCCGATCTCGATTTTTTCTTTAGGGCCCTCTTAAAAGTCTTGTTTATCAAACTCCTATAAATAAGGAAGAATTATTAAATGTCATAATTATTTACGCTGACATCATTAAAAATGATCACCACATGTTATTTCGAGTAGAGCAGAGGTGATTGAGCAATTTCAGAAAATGCATTGATGTACAAAGTACACGTATTGAACATCTTACTGAACAGTTCTCTTTTTTTAATTCAAGAAACTAAGATTTTTACAAAAATGTTAGCATCACATTTTTAATGCAATAAATGTATGTTAATAAAATTCGATTTTCTCAAAAACGGTACAAGATATCGGCTGATATACGGTATAGCTTTTATTTTATCAAAGTGAGAGACGAATCGAACCATGAAAGAAATGTCTTTTGCAATGCTGTCAAAGATCTATAATGGATAATTTAGTCTGCTCCTGTATAAGCCAGGCATATTGAATATGAGTTTAAACTTGGAAATGAACATTACCATGAGTTACTTTAATTTCCCAAACTTCATTGTTGTCATGGTAACGACTTAGAAGTTGGAATTTGTTTTTCAAACTTCTTTCTTTGTAGGCGAATAACTCCATAATGAAGCCCGATAGGAAAAAAAATATAGGTATAAAGTACTACATCTATTTTGACCTCCTCTGTAGGTATACCCCTTCATTTTTGACATGACCTTTCCGGTATAACTCCCGCATTTTTGAAAAATGGATCGTCGAATCTTGTATGGCTCATATGGAATACTATAGAAACATATTCTATATTAGTAGCTAAGTGTTTTTTTTTGTTGGTTAGTTAGATTTAAAATGGGCGAAGCTCCCATACTAACAGAAAGGGTGGTGTTACAACTAACATGTACCATTTTCATTTTATTCAATTTTTGAAAGAGAAAAATTGATTAAAGTTTATTCACAACAGACATGAACCAGAAAAGAAACATCCTGTTTTTAAACATTATTTGTATTCTACAATTTAGGCCGATGTATGTATTTCAGGTTATTTAACTTTTTTGATACTTTGCCAAAGCAGCAAGCTGAACTAATACAAAAAATAAATGTATTTAAGACATTTTAGAGAATACCTACAGCGCCATTAGTCTTTTTTGATACGTGATGCCGCTTTCGCAAAACCTTTTGTTCCATAATATCCTTCTTTATCCACTAATACTTGCGAATTTGTACTGCAGAAACGTGAAAAAATTCTCATTGCAATGAAAATATAATTGTTTTTATGTTTTTATTTATTTTCATCGAACTTGCTCTATTATTAATCACATCACGACTTGATATTTGACGGGAGAATAATAATGCATGAGAAATTTTTAAAATGCATCAAGAATATTAAAAGTATAATTTTGGTACGAAGCGTGAATTTAGTGATTGTTTCATTTAGTTCATTATCATATGTATTTCTCCCGGCAAAGCTTGTCACTGTTTACCTTCTTTCTTATTCAATAATAACTCCATTGTTAAAATAGTATCAGATAACACGACGCTGATACTTACCACTGACTACTATTCGATAATACGCGATTAGAGCAACGACAATATAAACTCTAAATACATTGCTTAATAGTGTCGTTTGGATTGTTTATATATTATCTTCATGATATCTTTGATTAAAATTTTATGAGTGTAAATTTATTATTTTATTATTATTCAATAATAAACTTATCTACTTTAATATCATTTGCATTGTATGTAAAAAAGATATAAATAAAAGTTGTAAAAAGAGAAAATTGTTTGTATGAACCAACATATTTATTGTCAATACAAATCAATGTATAGTAAATTTTTAAGGTAGATTGTAGCAGTCACACAGTTCCAGAATTGATGTAAATGTAGTAATATTGTCAAAATATTTTTGCTCTGTTTTCAAGATTTCGTTTTCTAAACGTTCTATGTTTTATACATATATAATTTTGTTCTATTAACATTTATTAATTTTATTTGCCAAAGGGGTCACTTGGGAAAACAATTCTAAATAAAATGTAGAAATAGTAAGATCTTTCTATCATGGTCCTTTTTACGTATGTACAGTCGGCGCCACCCAAATGTGAACGGCAATATTGTATCGTGTAATTTAAACTTTAAATCATAGTTGTCGTAAAATTCAATAATTGTCAAATATATATGTCACTTAGAGCAAACGTAGTGAAATCTAAACAAGTAACGTGAAATATGCCGGGGCATTTAACTGAGACGCAAAGAGCAAGGGCTATAGCTAAATTAGAAGATAATTGGTCTTTGACTGAAGTGGCTGCTGATTTAAATGTCAGTAAGAGCTGTATATTTTATATTAAAAAACGCTGGCAAGAAGAACAAAGATTACATGGACCTATCAGGCAAGGTGGCGGAAAGGTTTCCAATGACGAGGAAGATAACGCTTTGGTCGAATGTATCAAAGAGACTTTAGGCCGGCAAACCGCAATCAACTCTGGCAAGCTATTCAAGATGCTTGGGAAGAGCTCGTCGATTCATATGATATGAGAGCGTTGATTTTGTCTATGCCAACAAGACTGCAAAGTGTTGTGGCAATGAATGGCTCTGCAATAAAATATTAATATTTCGTTCTAATGACAATTTTGCATTAGTAGTTTCTGCGAGACTTAAACGTTTCTCTGTTGATCTGCAGTCGTCACTGTGCTCAAATATAATTTTCTTCTATAGCCATAGATTTGTTGTTAATTTTAAAATAAGGTTTTTTACTTTTTATTTACTGTTTTTTTGTGTCGTCTTTTTAATTATTAAGTAGGTACTATAAGAGACACTTAAAATAAAATTCTATTAATATCCTCTCTGTGTTACGCCACTAAAAAAAGTCTGATCTACTACGATAAAATCCAGATTAAATTTCCATAACAAACCAAAATCCGTTCACATTTGGATGGCGCCAACTGTACCTACATACTTTCAGGAAGATAAAATTTCGGTTCTCTATAAATAGTCAAAAACACACCGATACTCCACAATTATTGACTAATATTGAATTTAAAACCCCTGAACCTAAAACCTAGGTACATAAGGCTAGCAAATTTATAATAATCGTAAAAGTAAATCTATTGGGGACTTCTCGTTAACGCTTCTGATGATTACAAGAACAGGAGTTAAATCTGAATACCTTGATCATGAAAACCTAATACTTATATACAGTACATGGTAAAAAAATAGATAAAAAAATTGAGGATTTCGTGGCAGTTCCTGGTGACATTAGGAAAACCACGCACTGAAACCTTATCCATATATCTATCTGATCGTTTTCCCAAATTTTTTGACGTGACGTGCGGCTAAGTTTTAGGCACATTGGTTTAGATTTTCTAGGTTCAGTATTACTCGATGATTCTGAACTACTAGAATAACATTAACTGTTTTCAATCGAAACGGAGATTGTTTTGTTTTATCAGACACACTCGAGATTTTCAGAAACTTACAGTTTAAGCTCCAGGTTTTTGCGAAGTATTCAGGTTTCGTCGTTTATAGTCTCCCTGTAGTAAGTGATAAAAAAGTCCCCTATGGAATCTGCACTTTTCTAAGCGTTAGAAGTTTCTAACCTTATGTACCCGTGCTTAGGTTTTAGGTTCAGGATTTCTAATTTCAATATTACTTAACGACTGCGGAGTACCGGTGGGTTTTTGGCTATTTGGACGAATAAGGACGTTATCTTGTAGAATATTTCGAAAATTCAAAGCGATTTTTCATTTTCCTTTAACCAATGTATCCAAAATATGCCACTATGCATCAGAAAGTGTGTGTATACACTATACAAGGAAGATTTTGAACCCTCAATCGTCTTTGTACTGCTTCACAATTTTTGGACAAATAGGGGGCAAATGCAAGATATCAAATTGGCCGCATATGGGAAACAAAAGATTTTTAGAGACTGTTTTTATATACCTTTTTGTTCTTTCAAAAAAATGAATTGAAAGTTACAAAAAATCATTTTGCTGTAGGTTTGCTGCTAAATTCATTCCAAGGCAGAATCTAATCTAATCTAATCTTAAAAGATAGTGTTTTCATAATTCTTTCAAATTAGTATAATGGATTCATCTTCTGGAAAGATCAAAAAAGAGTTCTTATATGTCAATATAGTCAATAATTTTAAGAGAAATTGAAAAGAAGCATTTTTTAGTCTGCTCAAGAAATGCAGTCGTTTTCCTTAAGGCGGGAAACATAATATTATCAAAACGAGGGGGTCACACATCGTTTCATGTGCCACTGTAAGGACATGTTTGAAGATGAATTTTATCGTTTCTGGCGGTCTTAAACGTATATCAAATTTCAATATTATAATATCGATACTATAATTAATGATGATACTATTATACTTATATATGATATTATAATGATACTATTATAATATCGATATATTGAAATATTTGAAAAACCATTTCTTTTAACATCCTGTAATCCTGTAACATTTTGGAGTAAGATAAGTTGACTTAAATCTGCATTTTTACCTAAAGAATTTGGGGTGACTATACGACCAATGTTTTCTGAGACATCCTGTATAGTTAACATGCACTTCGACATGTAAAAGTAAGCAAAGTAATACTACAATAGTACACTCTATAGACGAGAAATTATCATATGTATTTTATCCATATCCTAAAGATAAGTATAGGTTTGTTCTAAGACTGTAAGACAAAGTAAGACATATTTTGGTGTCGCTCAAATATTTTTAAACAGCAATTTGGTCTTGACATGATTTTCGCTACATGTCATCATAAAGTTTTACTCATATTACCTACTATTGAAGTATTAGCAATAACCGTAAACAATACTATACAAAGAAATTGTGATAAATATAAATTGAAATAAAAAAGATATAAACGAACGCAAAGCTTTCTATCTAGCGGCATTCAGCACTATATTCTAAGCAGATGGGTGGATGTGACCTATGACACAAGGGTTATAAAGTAGTAAAATTTGTATTTCGTCTTTTTTGTTTGTAGAACAACCGACCACAGTAATTCCAAATTATGAACCAGTAAAATAAAATAAATTATAGCCACTAAAGTCGTAAATAAGTGTTGCTCTATGATCACTTAAAGGATGCGACGTCCAGATATCTGCCTTTATTTTTTTGTTCATAAAATATCATAATAAGTTATAATTTTAACAGGGTGTTATCTTTATGGATACAAGTGAAAAGTTTATTACATTCTTAATTGTATTGGAAAGAGTAATTGTAGTATTTAAGTTACTGGTTTATTAGCATTTTCAGTTTCTGTTAAAGGCATGGTTAAAAAATCATAAGGCAAAAGGAATGCTATTTCGTATATGTACATTGACAGTTGTTTCCTTCATTTCATAAAGTAGATGTGACATATCTTGAAGGCCGGATTGATTGCTAATAATAGATATATTCCTTCCAGAAAGTCTGTCGACCACAGATGTTTAAAATTTGTTATACCTCTCTAATACCTACTCAGGATTAAAACATATGCCTGGAATATTATTTTAAGTAACACGTGTTCTTCAATTACACTATAAGATTAATACGTAACCATTTATATTTTTGACAATATGTATCTGATATTTTAAGGAATGCTTATTTTCCCAAGACGCACACGTATTTAAAATAAACATATCTTTCCTTAAATCAGGTATATTAGATCCTCCTTGTGTTTGTTATTTTAACACATATTTTTATTAGTTTCAGAAGGAATCGGAAGCAGTTGTGAAGACAGCGTGCAATGTTACTCAAAGATTCAATTCAGCGGTTGTCAACATAATAAATGTGTGTGCCAACAGCATACTCATGAATACAATGGGTCATGTTACAGAGACGTTGGTAAGTTTGTTGGAATTCTCATGTATAAAACTAACATACTAGTGAATTACAGAAAAGAGAATTCTGAAATACATAGTATTTTCTAAATCATAATTTCGAGAAGTCGTGAAGTCGAAATTCTGGAAATTTAAATAAAAATACTCTGCCAATATCCCTGCCACTTCAATACTGTTACAGGAAATTACCACTTCCATTTAAGTACATTATTACACGTTTTTTCAGTGACTCTAAATATGGTAATACATATAATACGATATTGATCTGATATAGCTATAACAATATGATTATACATCTTTCTAAATTTCAGCACCCTGCATCTTGATAACCAATGGCATTAAACTTTTAGTTCACTAAAGCTTGTTTCAAAATAATACAAGGAACAACATCCTATATACAAAAGCTCATAAAAATATGATTGTTGTAGCTGTTCTTCGAAATATGACCTGAAAAGTCTTATCGGAAAATAACTATTTTACTTAAAAACATTTTTTTTATTTTCCAAAATAGTAGTGTGGCAATATAAAACGGTATGTAAATGCTTATAATATATTTATAATAGTATACTACTATAGTATATTTGGTTAAAGGGATAAAAAACGTATTCTTCATGAATTATCTAAGCACGATGTTAGCGGCGATTTGCATAAATCCACGAATAAAAAAAGGATGAAATAGTATTTCATCTGCTCATCTATAAATTAGTAGATCAAGAAGTTATCCACATATTTTTTTGGACTAAAATATTGGGACTTTTCTTATACCACTTTTCATTTCGGAGCCCCATTTTCAAATACAGGGTGTCAAAAATTTAAAAAATTATTTTTATTGATAACTCCAGTAATTGTAGAGATAGATATTTATTTGAAATTTAGCACATATTTTGATCTTAAGTCGGCACACTTTCTGTGTAATTTTGGTTTAAAATATCAAAGCGCGAACGGAGGGGAGGGAGGTTGCAGTACGTACCTATGGACCTCCTATTTTTTTTGAGTACACCTATGCTTTCCAAATAATTGTTTTAGATAAAGCGACGTTTTATTCTATTTTTCTTTCACTCTCGTAAGATTTTTATTTGGGGCCTCGTTTACGAGATATTGTAACTTTTTTTGGATACGCGACATCAATTTAGTCGACGTTACACTTTAATTTTTGGCATTTTATGAAAAATTTCTTTTATATGGTACCAATACTAACTAAACAACAGTTAAAGAAACAAATTATACGAGGTAAAGAGCACTTTAGACTGAAACCACATATTTTTATTTGGGCTATACGAGATTTGCAATTTTTTCAGATATATTAGGGTATTGCAACCCCTCTCCCCTCCGTTCGCGCTTTGATACTTTGAGCAAAAATTAAACAAAAAGTGTGCCGACTTAAGATCAAAATATGTGCCAAATTTCAAATAAATATCTCTACAATCACCGGAGTTGTCAATAAAAATCGTTTTTTAAATTTTAGACACCCTGTATTTGAAAAAGGTCTCCGAAGTGAAAAGTGACATAAGAAAAGTCCCAATATTTTAGTCCAAAAAATATGTGGATAACTTCTTGATCTACTAATTTGTAATACCCTGTATAAGTTTCCTTCTTATTTCTATATTGGGGGGGGGGGGGTCCGTTATAACTGTCCCCCCATCTAACTCCCTTAAAAGTTAAAAAAGTGTAAACACAAAAATGTTACTATGTTTTATCTAGGTTATCATGGCATTCTTATAATTTTTATAAACTGTCTAACATATGAAAACAAGTAATGTTTTTTTAAATAAAACAGCCTGTATATTTTTAAAGCTTTTTTTTAATCTAACCATATCATATAATCCCTTGAGTGGTTGACCAATATTATTTAGACAAAGTATATTCTGAACGTATCTTCAATAGTTTTATTTAATCGAGACTGCAATGAAAACAGTATGCCTTGTGATGACAATTAAATCTTATATCAAATATGTTATAGCTCTTTCTCCGCCTGTTTGTAGCGCGTTATTATAAAATGCTTAATGAAAATTTTGATATAATTTGTGCACATATTGGAAATAAAAAAAATGGTGCAGCGCCCAGCGACAACATAAACGGGTATTTGGCAATATTAGAGAAGTTTCATGCAAAAAAAGGGAATTTGTAGAACTAAAAACTTTAAAAAGAAAATTTAGTCATTGTGCTCGGAACAAAGATGTAGAATTGAATATTTTATTATATGTATTTCCATGAAAATCCCGAAAAGTCTAATAGAGAAGCAGAACGTGATATGTACATCTCTAAGACACAAATTGTAAGGATTGTCCAAAGAGAAAAAGGTCAATACATTAAGTATGTAGTGGATGAGATGGCCAAAGATCGAGGAATTCGTGTACTCCGTTTACCGCCATACCACTGTTAATTAAACCCAATTGAGTTGGTTTGGGCACAAATAAAGAATGAAATTGCACGAAAAAACACCACATTTAAAATAAACGACGTGAAATTATTATTACAGGATGCTATTAATCATGTCACTGCTGAAACATGGTGTAAGTGTATTGGACATGCACAGAAAGAGGAACAACGTATGTGGGATCTTGATACAACGGTAGAAGTGTTCATAGAACCAGTCATTATTCATTTGGGTGAAGATGATTCTAGTGATAGTGATAGCAACAGTGATATGTGAAATATATAATGTGAATAATGTGATATGTAAGTATTTAAATATATTAATAGTGAAGTGATTATGTGGCAGTGAAGTGAAAGTGTGACAGTGATAATATTCGTGAGATAATTATTATAAAATATGTAAGTACCTACTTAAATAAATATATTAATAGTAAACATTACAATATTTTGCGGCGGCGTAAGCCGGGCGGTGGTGGGTTATCGATGCCCTCTTGGGGGGTGTTTTATAGAAAACACTTAAAATTTAAAAACGAAATGTTACTAAAATATTTTTGAAGTTTTCTCGGTAAAACCTCTAAAAATAATAGATGTTATGTTTTATTATATTTTTTCCATATTTTCTACATCTTGTTGCCTTTTACGTATACACGCCTATTGATTTTCGATCCCCGCACGCCTCATCCTCCTTACTAGTCCAAGAGCTAGCGATGAATCACTATCTATAATTTCGGCCGTCGAGTATACGTAAAAATACTAAAATTTTTATGATTGCACTTTCTTTTTATACCATTATTATTTATATTTTCTTCTGTATATTGTAATAAGGGAGTTGATTGGGGGGGGGGGGGTCAATTATAATGGACCAAAAAAAATTACTTTAAACAATATGCGACTTTTAAATAGCTGTACAAAACAACGCAAAAAGTGACCTTTTCATCAAATAAAAACAAATTATATTTTCTATTCTAGGAATGTGCGTCCACCTTGTATTTTTCAATGAAAATAAATTCGACAAAAATATAACAGGATAAAAGTTATTAAAAAAACCAGTTTCTTTTCCCAGATGTTTGTCGACGTATTTTAAAAGTGCCAATCACTAAATATAAAGAGATGTATCCTCGAAATAACTTATTCAGTTTCTTAATCGCAATAATAATAATTGTGTCACAACATAAAAGCCTTAATAGCTGTTAGTAACAAACAGTAACTCTAGTTTTCTTTCTTACAGTCGGTTCTTCTCATATTCTCAATTAGTAGAATGAGTAATGCACTGTCAGAAGAAAAAATATAGTTAAGGAATTAACAACGAAACAAATGCCGACGTCCAAGTTTTTATAACCTACTTTGATTAATAAATCATTTTAAACGTTACTACAACTTCTACGCCACTTAACTAATTCACCATTTCGCTTTTTGTACAAGCTTTGGTTTGTCACTTGAAGATATATGATACAATTTGTTGCATAGAGCACTAAATAATTGAATGATGACAAATTGGTATTTTGACGAGTTCATATTTCACTTACCCTTACTCACAATGAATTTTTATCATGCATCTAGTTAGTAGCTATCTATTATACTTTCCTTATTATATTTTAGATTTTGTCTTATGGATGCGTTGGTGCCACTTATAAAATATAAAAATTAATTAGACCCTACTGAAGTTCATTTTGAATTTTTGTCACACTATACAAATTTTTCAAGCAAACAGGGAAAAACAAATAAATATGCTACAAATAAATAATTTTGGACAACACGACCACATGTTCTGAGATTGTTGATATCTCATTTAGTATTCGTGATATTGTTATTTGAGTGCAACGATTTTTTAAATGTGCGGTTTTCTGAAACAAGGTAAAATTTTACGTGAAACTGGGAACTCACGGAAACGTTTCAACTTTTGAAAAAAACTTACGGCGATGATGCTCTGGGTGGTACGAATGATTTTCACGGTTTAAAAGTGGTCGTCAGTCAATTGAAGACGGTCCTGGACCACGAAGGCCATCGACTTCAACTGATGACTCGCACGTTCAGAAAATATATTGCAAAAGAGGTTCGTATATCAATTGGGTCATTCTGTGAAATTTTGTTGAAAAATTGAACATGCATCGAATTGCAGCAAAATTTGTTCCTTGTTTGATGACCGAACAACAGAAAAAAAATCGTGTGGACTTTGTCGGCAACTCCTTTTTGAATCCAATGACGATGAAAAATATCACCGTAATGGTGTGGCAAATGATCTCCATACCCCAAGAAAGCCCGTCAGTCTCGATTCATTGTCAAAGTGGTTTTTTCGACTTTAATGGAATTTGGAATTCTTGTGTCAAGGTGAAACAGTGAGCCGTATAGGTATTATCAAGGCGTTTTATAACAATTACGTTAAAAAATCGTCAAAAAGAGTTGTGGCGAGACAATTTATGCTTCTTGCACCTTGACAATGCGCATGCACACTCGGTTTTACCAATTTATCAGTTTTGTGCAAAAAATCAGATTACTGTCCTCCTTCACCCCCTCCTCACTCTCCAGATCTGTCTCCTTGCGATTTTTTCTTATTTCCGAAATCAAAATCAGTGCTGAAAGCGCGCGGTTTTCAGACTCTTGATGATATCAAAGCAATATTTAAAATTC